AACGCAGTAAATGTAGAACACCACAAAATAACAAACAACCATAATCGGGGCTCTGTATAGGCAGATACAATTATCGAGATTGGGCATCTGTACTTAAATTGGCGATTGACTCCGCCTGCCCTGGAGTTTCAAATGTTACGGCCGTCGGGTAAATTCCTCTCACGGTGATATGAAATTTAACCAATATGCAGTCATGTTATGACACCTCGCGTACTCAATTTGTCTGCACCGTGCGTGAATGATGACGATGCATTCCCGCGTCTCACATACATGCACTGATGCAGCTGATAATTAATGCTCCCCTACCCGAGATTCATGTTGTTATGTAAACATCATCTACTCGGGATAAATCAGCACCTAGTAATCACCGCACCTGCGCAGTTTAATTTGGGAAATGTTGCTCTTCGATTCAACTTCAACACGCGACGCTCGTTCATGTTATTTACGTTAGGGCGCTGTTCGAATTCTGCGTATTATGTGCACCTTTTTGCGAAGTTTCATTGGCGAAAAACGTGTTGACAGAAAGTGTATCATCGGCACAATTCGTTAATTTAGAACCGGCTTGTGTGTTTAACAAAATGGCATCTCGGCGGCTGCAATATTGTCGGAGTGTCAGATGAATGGCAATAAATAACATTTTTTATCAACCGGCGCAACTGTTAAACTGGCCCCACACGGCCAATAAATTTGACAACGAGGCTCTTAATTTTAATTCCGGGCTAATAAAGTTTGAGGTAAGCGCTGCAAACTGGCATAACGTGTGGGGGTACTTTAATCGTCAAAAGCTTCAAACTTTATTTGTGTGTGTGTGTGTGTGTGGGGGGGGGGGGGGGGGGGAGCTGCAAGAATTTGAAATATAATTGCAGACAGCACTGTGTATGGTGAGAAAACAAAGACCCCAAGAAGACATATTTACAAAAAAATCAGCTTTAAAGGACAACATGCTTCTTCGGGGAGTAGCAGCCTAGCGGGCGTTTCGGCCATTTACGAAGTATCTTTCACCCTTTCAGATAACAGAATCCCCATGTCATTCGGAGTCACGCATTTTCACATTTCACAAACCCAAATATGCCACTCGCTCTTCGCTAGACTTACTGTGCCTAAAACCAGAACCCGTACCGGTGATAAAGCGATTCAAGCCGCTGGACCACGCACGCACTGTTATTTCGGTTGTGTAAAAATCAAACGGTTAACCTAGCAACCTGTTGTCTAAACTGTTGTTTACACAACTTGTGTAAAATATTACACAACTTGTGTAAAATATTACACAACTTGTTCAATATTTTTACACAACTGGTTGCTAGGTTCATATAGTACACAACCGAAATAACAGTACGCCTTTGGAACTGTCTGCAGGCATTTTCAAAGGTCTTCTAAAAACACACTTGTTTATTCATTGCTTTGTATTTTGTTTTGTTACTGATGTTGTGTTTATTGACTTTCATTGTTCATTGTGTAATTTATTATACGTGTATACATTACAGTGTACAGCGCTGTCTTCCTTTAAAGGGCGCTTTATAAATGCCTAATTGTTTTGCATTGCTAGAATTAAAATTCCATTTTAGAAAGACGAGCAGTAGCGGATGGGGGGGGGGGTGTTGTTGTTGTTGTTATTGGGGTCCCCCCCCCCGGCCGCAAAAAAATTGAAGAGAAAAAAATGCACATACCTGCTAACCCCCACCCCTTTGACAGGGGGGCACTCCCCCCCCCCCCAGTTTTAACCACGTGCCCCTCTTGCGGACATAAATGTGCCCCCTCGAGCATGTGGCCCCTCGAGATGAAAACAAAACTTGCCCTGAAAGAGTTTTGATATGAAGGAGGAATAAGAAAACCAACTTCAAAACCCTTACGATGCGCCCTGAAAATGGGCACATAATGCGTAAAGTTTGCAAAATGGCCGGTTTTGAAGAGCGTCCCCTATTTTGGAAGATGGTACCAGCCCCCCCCCCCCCCCCCCACACACACAATTTGATTTTACGGAGGCCAAGTGTCCGTGAAAAAAACAACAACGTGTCGACATTTCAGCACGGATCATGTGCCAAAAAAAATGCACCGACGGAAAATGCCTTTTACTGAGCAAGTGCCCTTATTTAGTGATGTCCCCCAGTTTGAAAACCGTTCCGCCGCCGCTGTATCACCCCCTTCTTCAGCCAAACCTGGCTCCGCCCCTGAACCAGGGTATGAAGAAATCTGCCCTGTATCTTCCCAAATGAAACATGCTTGTTACTCGTGAAGGACATTTCCAACAGAAATCAGTTTGTGAAAATAGCAATTAATATTGATGAGGTTCAAACTTCAAATTTCGAGAAATTTTTCAAAATATAAATACAAAACCGACTTCACATCCAGAGGTATATAATTCTATGTGACGCTGTAGGGTAATTGGATCAAGGCAGGCATGCATTTCTTTTAATAATCTTGACTCTCTCTTTCGTTTTTTTTGGCAAGAAAAGCCCAAAGTTTATTGCATACCGGTAACAAGACTACCCCGTACTGAGTTTACCCTTTAACGAATCGCGCATGCTCACACAACCCGTGTGCTGATGCAGGGTAAACAGAGCACGGTATCATTATTTTTGTGTATTGTCAAAATCTTTTAATTTCACGTGAAAAGAGTCCAACCAGTCCTGTGGCACGTTGTCACCATCCGTTCTGAGTTTACTCTCCAATCAATCACGCACGCTCGCACATGCATGCGAAGTCTATAGGTAAACTGGGCACGGGCTAAACTGAGCTCGGGACATCCTGTGTAAGAAACCACCTGTCAAATTCCAGCATTCCATCTCGATATAAACGACACCGTCAACAAGGCTACAACTTTGGTCCGTTCATCATCAGCTCATAGTCACGGGCTGAGAAAAAAATAGTGAAAATGCTTTCACAAACATCACGACATTCCTAGTCAGAATCCTGTCTGTTTCCTGACCATTGCCGGGTCAGCGGGAAACTATTAATTTTGTTCCGGCGGGGTCCCGTGTTTATGGACCGCTAACATTTTCCTCAATTAAGACACATAGTCGGGCGCTCAAGACAAATAAACGGTGCATGCGGAGCCCGGGAGTGGGACCGAGAGTCGGCTGGCAGGCATTGTCCCCGGCCGTGTGCCGCCGGCCGGCTTGGCTACATGCTCCTGGTGAGGTTGGAGAGGTCCGATCCGGGGAAAAACCCTGAACTTAGCTTTTGTTTTACATGTATTACAAGATTGTGGTATAATCAACCATAATAGATCAACCATGTACGGATTGCGAAAACGTCTGATGCTTGCATGTTTTGCACAAACTTAGTTTTATGTTCTGATCGCTTAGTAAGCACATAGTTGAAGACAAAACATAGCGGTGTAATGTCTTAGGTTACTTACTGGCAAAAAAATGACTTAGGTTTGTAAAAACAGGTTCATCGGAACATAATTCAAAATGCCCTGTTTGTTTATCTGTATAAAGAACATGGCACAAAGCGTTGGCATATTAAGAGAATTATTGCCTCCAAAATATAAACTTGGAAAGAGGAGCATCGAAGGGCAATACCGTTATACAAGATCGTGTCTCGAAGTCAAGCCATGGAATTTTCTTGTAAACGTGGGACGGGCTTCTTCGAATAGTGCAGTGAGGTGAGGGAGGAATGCCAACCACCGGTGGATCGCAGCGCTCGGCCCCTTCAGTGTCACCGGCAATTTCGAGCTTAAATCGTCGGTGTTTACGGGTAACTTCACCCAACTGTGGAGATTATTTACATGGTCATTGTTAGGGGAAATCTAACAAGCAAAGAATACGGAGAAAATGTGTAAGAACATAATTCTGATTCTTATTGGCGTAATGATCGTTTCATCTATAACGAAGCCGTTCCTATAGACATGCATTCTTTTTCTGAATCCAAACATTATTTTTCAACATACTTGAGTTATAAAGAAAGCGTCTGATGGGTCACATAAACCCATACAATATTTAAATATCCCAGCGAATTTACTATCCAAAAAAATAGCACAATATCCAAACGCATTTTCACTCTAAAGTAACAGCGGTTGAAGGACAAGGAAATTGTTTGCGTGCCCAATTTCTTTCTGTGATTAGGCCTACTGCGCATGTTCTGGTCAGTATTTTCCCACTGCAGGAGTATTTTGTCTTCGAATGCGCATGCTCATCGTCACGGGAAAAAATGTGGCCCGTCCTTAAATGAGCATGAAGTCGGCCTTTTAAGAATTGAGATGTTTTTATTTCTGCATTCTGCAGAACAACTTCAACAAGAGCTTTCTAATTGTAGCCTGTATACAATTTTGGGTACGGGGTTTAGTAACAGAAATATAGATCGCCAACTAAATTAAAAAGTTGTAAAACTAATTTTGTGAATTTTTTTTTCAAAACCTCGCTCTGATTATAATTACACTGAATAAACAGACCGATAATTAAAAGCGATGAAAATCAGTTTTGAAGATGTTTGATAAAGCAAAAATAATGGGAAAAGGTAGTTTATGACTTACAGATTGAGGTTCACCTGAAAACAAAACAAAATCGATCACCTCTTCAAATTTTGGCTTAGCCCCACTGTACTGCATGATGACAATTTCCGACTTAATGCTCATTTCGTCGTGACAGGTCACGTAATATCATCGAGGAAAGAGTTATTAGCAAAAGAAAGGAATGCAAGTCTATGACTTGAGATGTCATAATTGTTTTGTTTTGTTTGCACAAAGATACCATGACCTTGCTATAGCATAGTTCGAACACGTGATCAGCACAGACGCAGTTGACACCACAAGTATAAAGCGTCTTGGTGTTAAAAATCCAACCACGTCCACAATATCACATCTCCAGCTTCTCGTAAACATCGAGAAAATCTGAGTGATTGTATTGTTCTGTAACTGCGACAAATATCACATTCCTTTCAAATCTCATTTGCACCATTCGTCATTCTGACGGAGAAGTTTGAAGAGACCTCGCTTAAAAGAGATTAAAACATTTTTGTTGTTGTAAATTTAACTTTAATATAAAAAAGTTGACGATGTATTAATATAACGAAGACTCCAACCGATCTTTATTATGAATTCTTACTTCTATTATTTAAATTCTGTACATTTTTTTTCATAAGTGCACTAGGAAATAGTAATGCCTTACAGGAATGCCTTTGCATAAATTAATAGACATTGCATATCTTATAATACTCGACTATTCTGTATAAGAAAAGGTGTCGATACATATGGCAAGTGTCGAAAAGAGAATGGAACTTTGAGAAAATCTGGAAAAAAAAACCTTCCTGGTTACAAAACAAAATCGTCAATCGACAATGGCGTTCAGTTGTAATTCCAAAATTAATTACCAATAGACCCATTTTCGGCTATAGACAGTAATTAGGGAATATTTAAAGCCACTCTATGAAGACTTCCTTTTTCTACATAAATATTGATAAGGAAATAACACAATGGAAAATTTTAATTTTCAATTTCAATTTTTCCAACCAACATGTGGTCCCTTTGTTAAAGTAATAAATATCAATATTTTCTAGGGACGCAACAAATAACTTGGGTATTCTAATAAGCACTGGTCTCATTCAGATTCCACGATTACTGCCAGGAATTGAAACAGCACAGGATCAAGAATCAGTTTTGGTTAAAAAAAGAAAAAAAGAAAAGAAAAAAGACCCTAGAAATTTGCACAATATGATTTGTTTCAAGAAAGTTGAGGAATGCTGTAAATGCATGAGCATAATATCTACACTGGATTTTGTCAAATCTTATTAAAAGTTGCGTCTTCTCAGACTCATTTTCGGCCGTGGAATAATTTTGTAAAGCTGATGGCTGTAGGCCAAATTGGTCGTTGCCATTGGATTAATATTATTTTTTGTGTGTGCCCTTATGATGTCAGAGCACAAACAAACTCGGGCAGGCCCAACTTTGCTAAAAGTAAAGGAGGGTATTAGCTATAGGGGCAAGCTAGGGTCAAGCCCAAAATTTTGCGCAAATTTCCCAATTTTGCGCAAGTGTCGATACATTCCAAAAGTCAGACCATTAAGACCATGTCATGCACCCCTAAAATAAAGGACGCACAATTTGGCTGGTGTAAGTAAAGTGTGCACCTGCTATTGCTAATGATCGTCAAAGTTGACATGGTCGTAAACACCCAATTCACAGTTCATTTAGCTGCCCTTGGAGAAACCATATGTTGGCCTTCTTGTGCAATTGGAGAACCAAAAGTTATCGCAAGCCCACCTCAAAGTTCAAAGGAAAACAAAATCCAGATTCGAGAGGAGTATGCTTTTGTAAGTTATCGTACTCGGATAAGGCGAGTGCTATAGTGCGTTACAAATAAAACTGCACGTTGTAGAAAATCTTTGACTGTTATGGTATTCTGGAGGTAGCAGGTTCGAATCTCACTCCACTCAATTTTTATGTTGTCAACGTAATTAAGTGAACCTAATCGGTTTTCTTTTGGGAGGGGGGGTATTAGAATCTTGATGTTCGCAGTGGACCAGAAGTACATGTATATGCATGGTCATTTCTCATTGGTATCAAGCACTGATTATAGTTGACTGCTTCATTACATTTCATAAATCGTCAGATTTTGCCATAGACATATAATTTTAGCATACGTCTCCGTGTCGACGTTTCACCAAGTCCTGACTGCTTGTTGTATGGTGGGCTGGGAGTATACACCCACACCGTTGCCATGTGTTCCCGCTCCGCCGGCGTAGGAGCACGAGTTGACAAATCGTCCCGCCGAACTCACCGAGTTCCCCGAGCTATAACCCCCGCAGGTGTAGCCGTAAGGCGGGGGAGGTGGAGGGCCAGGGGCCGGGGGAGCAGCCGAGGTGTTGACCCCAAGGTTCCCCAGGCAGGGCTTCCCGTCTCGCACCAGCACCGGCACGGCCACCCGCCGGGGCGGGAACTGCTGGCCGCCGGCGGCGGCAAGCTCGAGGCTCTTGTCCTGCCGCTGCCGCTTACTCTTGTACCGCCGGTTCTGGAACCAGATCTTGACCTGGGTCGGGGTGAGCTTGAGCAGAGTGGCTAGCTGGTCGCGCTCGGGGGCCGACAGGTAGCGCTGCTGCTTGAAGCGACGCTCCAGCTCGTAGACCTGTGCTTGGGAGAAGAGCACGCGGGGCTTGCGGCGCTGGCGGGACTTGCTGGGCTGTTTGTCGCCTCCCACTCCTCCTCCTGCTGCCACGCCCCCTCCCAGCTGGTGATGGTGGTGATGGTTAAGCGGGTGTGTTCTCTTTGGGTCGATCGTTCGGCAAACCTCTTGACACGAAATCGCTGCAAAAATGTTGAATAGAACAAAATAATCTCAGTCATAGTCTCAAACAGAATTGGAATACACATAGCAAGAACCATCAGTACATGTAAAATGTATCCGACAACCAGTTAAAAAAAGTCACATCTGGTCCGAAACTAAACACCAACTTCCCTTGAAAAAAAGTCTCTCTACTGAGCCTTTGATCGTACTGTTCATTGTTATAGTGGCTTTAATATAAAACCTCCTCTTTTGTACCAAAAGAAAATTGAACTTCCAATTGATCTTTTTGAAACAAACTTCTACTGGGACAAGGACACTGAGGCATGTTAAAAACTACGCACCAAAGTTTGAGGAAAATAAAAGAAGGCTGTTTAAATAAAAAGGTAAAGCTGTTTTGTAGTTAACCTCACAAAATTAAAAGCAGTGATACAATTTTTGAAATAAAGGTTTCATGGCTGAAAAGATTACATCTGATAACTGACAAAACTGACCGAGAGACCAAGACTATATAAGAACAGAGTGTGCAATTTTTATAAGAGATGAAGTAGGCCTCGAAAACACCGGCTTTTTACTTTTATTGGACAGACAATTAATTTAATTACACCTGTTGAAAATTTACGAGCAAGTTAAGAGGGGCCGACTAGCGTGATGTTTGTGTTAACTCATAGCGTTCGAGCCACTTCACACACAGCGTGCGCATTTCTCACCACACCAGGGTAACTTCGCCACTATTTATTTATCAATCTTCAACAGCTCTCTTCAAACCGTCCACCACTTGAACGTCAAGCGTCCATATACCGGGCGAGTAAATATTGCACGCTGCATGCTTGGCAGTAGTGGGATGGAACTGTACAAGAAAATTATTGGCCAGTGGTATTACTAGTGTTTTCTCTCTAAGATTGCAGCGTCTAAATTGTTCACCACTTGAGCACTTGAACACCTTAAAACATCACTTTACACTTTTGCCAAAGAGATGTGAAAAATAACTGTAATTGAAGTAAGTACCGGTTTTAAAGATGTTAAGCCTGTATGCTATGGTGGTATTAGTAATAGTAGTTGACTTTACTGTGTCATAATACATGTACTCACTTTGATGAGATTGAACATGTTGAAGGGACGGAAGTTTCTGTTCGAGAGGAGATGTCGACGAGGGGGCAATCTCCGAGTAGCCCATGACGGATGGGTAGGAGCACGACGATCTGGCTTCCTCGGGGGAGCTGACGGAGCAGGAGACGGCGGTGATGTCGCACGGGAAGGCCGCGGCAGAGTCCACCAGGAAAGCCTCGTCGGTCATGGGGAACAGACCGTGGTCCTGGTAGCCCTGCATGGCCGGCGGCTGAGGCGGCACGCCCGGGTGCCGAGGGTGGTGGTGCTGCTGATGAGCCGCTGCCAAACACAGGATGTCTTTGACCGAGAAAGGCGTGGTGGATCCAGGCGGGGAGGTAGTGGAGGTTGTGGAAGGGTAACCCATCGACTGAGGGTAGCCGTGGTATCCAGACATCATCCCGTTCTCCTGCATTGTCTCCGGCAGAGTAAATGCTCCACATTTCCGTGTCAACATTTTTGGAGTCTCAGTTTTTTCACTTCTCCTTTTTCCTTCTCTCTTCTTTTCTTAGGAGTTTGACTTCTCTTATCAGCTGGCCATTATACCGGCTGGATAGTATCCAGGGCTTTTCGATATCGCTGTTATAGATGACACGAAGTCTGGGGCGGGACCATTAGGGGAGGGCTCGGGGTGAGTGATCGTCTTGTAGGGGATTGGGGGGGGGGACCCTCCGGAGTGTCTTCAGTCAAGTGTCTTACATCTCTCTCGTCTCCCTCCGTACTATGTTGAGTTAAGGAGCGAGGTGATTGGCCACAAGTGCCGTGAAAGAACCAGCGATGACAGACCAGACTATTCAATCAATTAGGCCCGGTATCGCCGCACTTAACGTGGAGCCATTGACTGTCAATATTGTTTAGCTGTAACGGCCTTTCATTTACTTAAGTAAGTAAATGTTTAGACCGGGCTTTAACACTGGCTGCCACGCTCGCTGCAACAAGAGCGCCAATTGTGCTAATGACTCGATCAGGAAAATATTGATGGGGGGATCAGTGAGTTTCGAGAAATCTCCCTGCGTCTGGTCGCTTTCTCTTCTTCTCCTATCTTGCTTGGTGGGCTGGCAGGTCCGGGCAGACAAGCTCAGAGGGCAGGCAGAGGCCAGCGACAACATTTACCCTTCTCTGCAAGTTGGCTGACGACTCCGGGGGTTGAAATACATGAAGCGGACACCAACGAAAACAGAAAGAAATGGGTCTGACACTTGTTGGGGCTGAAACGGGGCGAGTCTGACTGAGGACTGATTGGGGTAGCAAGCTCCAGAGAGACGCCCAGCCTCGGGGTGCGTTTTAAGGATTTGGCCGGGGCGCGTCAAGAGTGACACAAATTGTCCTCGCCGAGTTCGCGCTAGACTACACACTGGATGCGACAGCGACGCCTCCGATCTCGCCACCACCAGCCCCTTCTGTTTGCTTTCAGAAGAAGAAGACTGGCCGGCCTATCACCAACGAAAGAGAAAGTAAGAGTAAACGAAGGAAGTAAAGGGGGGCGAGCCAGTACTTTGTGGTTCTCCCCAGATTTTTTTTCTCTCACCCTCGCTAATTGGTCCGGTGGCTAGGGTTCAAAGCGGGCCATCGCGGACCCCATATCTCTTCCCCGGCTTGGCAGCTGGTCTTCCTCGCTCAAGTAAACTTCCGCGACTCCCCGGCATGCCTTGGCATCGATTATAGCGGCTATTAATGGCATTGTTTGAAGGACTGGCGTTATTTATTCGACTTGTCCCCACCAAACTGGCGATCGGGGCTGCGACATACGGCCTACCATTGTGTGACAATCTTAAAGCGAAACACCCAACATTCAAACAAAAAAAATAAAAAAAATTGCAAAATACGGCATGAAAACACGATAAAGAAAACTGTTCAAAAGCAATTGACAATAATCCTGTAAAAAAAATGGAAATTATATCTTGAAGAAAAAAAAAAATCATTTTTGATTCAATAGGCCTATACACCATCTATAGTTGATTTCCGATGGCGTAACTACAGAGGGGAGGGGGGTTGGGGGGGGGGGGGTTGGCATGGGGGTGTGCACGGCCTCCCATTTGAGGTCTTTGCTCCCGGCGCCATTCAGAATTTGGGGAAGGCAAACTCCGGAAAATGAGGCCCAAAGGCTCCTCTCTCATGCAAATTGAATCCTTGTTACACCACTATATCTACAGATTCATTTTATGGGCCAACATGCTGTTTTTAGCGGATTTTCTCGTGAGCATAAGTTCCAGTTTTCCATCTCGCAGTATTACACAGGAAACCACACTTCAGTGTGATCATCATCATCATCGGAGTTTCTACTTTCAGACATTCCTGATCTTCAGAATTTGGCATGTTTTTCCCCGATTTCCATTAACCAAAAAAAAAAGAGAGGAGAAAATCCTAGAGAGAAAGTAAACTATACATCCATCACTCAAGGTTGACAATTCCTTTAATCAAATAAACAGTCAAGTTGAAGGTTAAACCCAGGACGCAAAAAAGGCAGGGAGACTGGTGGATTATCGTCTGAGGGTTTTATCAGGAGAAGGAATTCTGGAACCCATAAATGTCCATCAGCAGAAGAAAAATGAGTTTGGAGGTTCCTGCGTTCCCGGCCCGCGTTTCGGCGCACAGGATTTTGCCCCCATCACCGTATCGCTGCCAGATAAGCCGTGGGGCCGTAAGTGACGTCTGGCAGGTTGGTTGGCACGGCTCGGCTATCGTTCGCAGTGCTGGCTCCTCCATCGATGAACCATTTTAAAAGCTTGTCAAGATGGAACTTTGTTGTTGTTTAAAGTGGCATCCTGGGTTGAGGGTTGCATGACGCCAGAAAATGCTCGGGACGAGGTCCAACGTGACTGTTTGTATCTCTCTATATTAGCAATCGGATCAGCAATAAGATTTCCAATGCTTTTAAGTGAATTATATCTAACGAGTGAATCATATCTTGCATTTGTTCTTAACAATTTGAAAAAGCAATAGGGAAGTACATTTGATGCATTTTGAGCCATTCATAGCTGTGGGAATATTATTATTTCGGGGATAAAACTGTATTGAGATTTATCCACGGTATCGTCGTTACAAAACAAACCGCGCATGCCCACTTCTAATGAGAGCTTGGCATTACGCATTTGAACATGAGGATTGTCCCCCATTCACGACTTTCCTGGTCGGTCTTTGACATTTGTATAATTTGGAAATGATGGAATATTATCCGACGAAAGCCTTATCAATCCCTTTAATGCTACCGTAGCGCCATTCAGCAGCCATCACCGTATCAGCAGAATCAGGGGGAACAGTATGGATATTCTCATCCCTCGTCCGTGTATAACCCAGGGGAATTTAGTGGTTGCCACTGTTATGACAAGCAGTTATTAAAAATGATAGGGCGATAGGACGGCGGGGTCAGCCGAGGGGTCACGTATCTACATCCGCGGCAGCAGACGAGGTCTTATCGCCTTTGATGGATCGTACGCGAATTGTGTGGGAAATTTATTGACGGGCCGATGCACAGATACCGAGATAGGTTTATTTCTAAATCAGTGTTTCTGTGTCTCCACGTGAGTAAAGGGCATGTAGAAAAAGTTCCACAGTTAGCGAAAGCACTTTCAGCCGTTAAACTGCAGCATGGCATCGACTTTCCATCGTCACATAGTGCCCCCTCAACGGTGACAGTGAACCCGAGCGCCGATATTGAAGGACACATGGGTATGCACGCTGCTATAGTAGAACCTGAAGTTCACCTCTTGTGGCGCCCTTCCAGAACCCTCAAATAAGAACTTAAACTGTGAAAATCCTTCAATTTACAATCATATTAGATTCAGAGCGCTCTCCCGAAAATCACCCTTCGAAACGGCGTGTATAATATCATTTGATTTGAACTAATTAATCGGCTGACTTAAAAGAGGGATAATCAGGTCAACACTGACGTGACGGACAGTGTTGGGGGGGGGCCTGGTACCATCTTTCAATGAGGGCGCTGTTGAAAGATCATACACACTTTAAGACAATAATAAGTTCAGGGAGGCACACGCGCGAAATTCCCCAAAAGGCACTCATTACAGCCGCTAGTTAAAAAAGGCACTCATTTGTTTTGTAAAAAGGACACTTGTTTTCGAAAAAAAGGGTAGTCATTTTTTTTGTAGAAAGGGCACTTGTTTAAACCAAAAAAGGGCACTCTTTAAAAATATTCAGGGGGGGGGGTAAACACTTGCGAAAAAGGGTAAAGGGCAGTCTTTACAAAATATTGGGGGGGATACCCCCCTTACTCCCCCCCCCCCCCCACGGCACTGTATTTACAGCAGCTACAGCAGCACTGGTGGCCAAACGAAGCGTCTTGGCTTCACGCGATAAGGTTAAACAGCGCCCTTTTTAGGTACAGCGTATTGCTTGTGGTTCTGCTGTCGTCGAGGAATTACTTTCGGCAGCCAGTGTTTCTGGCAACAATAATATTGTTCGCTCGAGAGCAGTATTACTGTTAATGTGAAGGGGCATCTGAAAGCATTTTGGACAGGTCACCACCATGATTGATGAACGCACAGTCCCAACCTCGTTCCCAGGACGTTACAATCTCGAGACAAAGGTAGACCCTATGAGGAAAACTCACTTCCTGTATTCTGATTTGATACCGCAACAATAAGTAATCGATTTATATCGTGTACTTGTGGTTATTTACGTAAGTAACATCCAGTGTATATTATTGCGTCCAAGTAATCCTTCCCCAGGTTTCCATATTTTGTATGTGCAAGATTTTTGAACGTGCATTTGAACATTTTTGAGAGTGCAGCTAGTGGGAGCGTACCGGCTCGACGCCATGGGGACGGGGTTGCTCACAGGCGTGACCGTCCGTGAGCGCGAGGCTGAGTTGCACCGGAAGCCAACCGCTTGGCCTTTTTACCAACTATATCAACACAAGCCTACGGAAATGGTCCACTGATGGCTGCGATGGGTTTGGTCCACTGGTGCCGTTCGGGATTCTGTCCACTGATGGTTGTGTTGGATTCGTAATTCACGAAAGCAAGAGTACTGATGCAGGGAAAACAGGAAAAAGAAATTCAGAGATCTAGCCCCAAATTTGCAAAAGCTTCGCGAGAAGAACATTTACAATTGAAAAGTATAGATTCCGATCGTATGACGTCAAAGTATCGCGTGACCATGCGGTTTCCCCGTGATCGGTCACCATTGCAGGCAAGCGTTTGGTTAGCAACCGCGTGGTGAAATTTTTAATAAGGACGATGCTATTCCTTGATTCGTAAGCAGCGCCCTCTCGTGATTACTGGTCCCCCTGTTCATTACTACATTCGCTGATTTCTACCCTATCATTTCGTTTAAATTCAAAACTTTTGTTGGTACCTTAAAGTCCATGTTCACGAATAAAGAGAAAGGCCCGACATAAGTGTTTGTATTTTTTTCATTAAACTTAGACGAGTAACATTTGCGCTCGTTGTGCTCTAGCAGTTCAAAGGAGCTCTTATTTATGTCTTAAATGGACACTACGTCCTGGATGACGCCCAATTGGGCTACAAAACACGCTTTATATGAAATGATATTAATTGGAAAGCCTAAGTTAAACGTAGAATATAAACACCCTCACAAACATCCTTTACAAATTGGCCGTATTTGTGTTATGCTTGCGTGCATGAATTATTTCGGGGGTCAACATTTTGACTCTCAAAATCGGTGCTAGGTCATGATTCCAGTCGCACATGTTCCACCGTGCATGCATCGCATGCTGCGGATGTGCGGGAAACAACATGTATGTATTGGTGCTGTTTGCACTTGTACGAAATGTACCGTACATTAAATCCTCTGACATTATTATGCATAAATGGACACAGAAGTTGGGGCTAACGTCCAAGAAGGAGACTTGTATTTACGGCTGGAAATGCGTATGCGTATGCCACAAAATGTCCACTGCGTCAGAAGTAAACAACCGGATTTTTTTCTTTTCGTTTCCTCTCAGGAACAGTGCGACATTAGGTTAGTTTCCTTTCAACCAGACCTTTGAAAACTAGGATAAGTAAACAATCTTAAACAACGGTTTCGGCGATTTCAAAACGATGTACCCTTTTAAGGACTGTTCAGGGTTGATTTGTAGGCACGAAATTTTTTAGAAAATTTGGTGGTAATCGATCAGGTAAATCTTACGAGCCTAGGAATTCCCACTTTGTATTTAATGTAAGTCTGAGAGTTTGTAATTATAAAAACGTAAGTTTTGAAAACCATTTATCGGGGGTTTCAATGAACACCATGAAGCATAAAGCAACCACTGATCCCCATTAAAAAGAAGAAATAGTTAATGCAGCAGATGCAGAATAAGACAGTGCAATCTGTCGAGTACAAAGAGGGCGCTATTATTGAGTGGACGGTGCACTGCGTCTGACTTTTAATCAGAGGAAACACTACAACGTGTTAGACCAAATTACTTGTTGGAGGTTGTTAAATAAGTTGGCTTATTTTATTAAAATA